GGGGGGCTCAGATTTTAGTCACATAGTCGTTACTTGTTTTTTTTTTTCATAATACATAATTCACTAGTAATTTAAGTATGCATGCAGTCATATGCTATAAAGAAGAGTATGAACAAAATTATTTTTTTTTTTAATTTTTGTCTGAATTGATTAAAAATCATAATTGCGAATTACTACGTAAAAACTAAAGGGTCATGGCACTACGAGTGGTCACCGATGAAAGGGAGGGGTCGAAAAAACTAAAAAAATAGGTCACGTAGTATGGGTATGTTCACTTAGTTCTATCGTATTTATTAAAATATAACATTTTTATATTGAGTTCGATTATTAATTATGAATATATAATTGAGATTATATTACTTAAAAAAAATAGTCCCGAGGAGGGTTTGGCGTCAGGCAGGCGGCCAGTAAAAACATTTCAAGCAAAAACATTATACAGTGTTAGTAAATACTGTGCCGACCTTCAATAGGTATAAGGGGTTTAACAGGAGTAGAGCCAGCTTTAACATCTTCGCATGAATTGTCCCGGCTCGCCCGGTGAAATACTACGACCACACAGAAGACACGCCTCAAGTGGAAGCTATTATACGTACAGTCTGATGAGTGTGCGTCCCGTAGGCCTAATTTAGTCCTCTTTCCCTTCCCACTCTATTTCTTATAAGGAAAGGATGGGAAGTGGAATTGGACTTTCTGGATGAGAGGATGCATGGGAAGGTAAATATTTTCTTTCTGTGCATTCTCTCCTCCGTCGATTAAAGGTAGCCAATGCATCTGCAATTATGGATGTCTATGGGCAACGGTTGCGTCCTAGTCACCTTATACTAGCTGTCGGCCGCGACTCTATCCGAACAGAATTCCAAAAAAAAGATTATCTGAAGCCTATGTGTTCTTTTTTTTTATATAAGATGTAGATACCTTTAAATGTCCAGTCATCTAAACATTCGCATTTATAATATTAGTAAGATAAAAAAAATTATAGCTAACTTCCAAAAGTATTAAACCTTAGTTAAGTAACTTCGTGGAATAAAACATTTTTTTGTTTTATTTCTCATTCATATTTAAAATGAGTCACGTGTTTTTAGGTCAAGCTTGTGAGATAGGCCGGGGTTCGGAGAATGTAATCGTTCATTTTAACATTGTTAAAATGTTTATAATATGACGTCATTTGATAGCGTCTCCATCATGTTCTTTTAGACTATGTTCTACATATATGCAGAATTCCATCGAGGTCTGTTCAGCCGGTCTGGAGATACACTTCTAGCAAACATCCATCTAAACATACGTATTTATAATATTAACCCTTATCGTGGCAAGATTTCTTTTTTGAAGAAAAGCAAAAAAAAACAAAGTTAAAAATTATTCTATAGTGATCGTATATTTTGTATACTATACAAAATGAACATAAGGGTTAAGAAGCGATCATACCATTTCCTTAAAGGCCGGCAACGCATCTGCAGTTCCTCTGGTGTCCATGAGTGTCGTTGTTCACCTCGGTGTTCCCGCCACTAGTTTGCCCCCTTCGCTTATAAAAAAAATAGTAAGTCTAACAAATAAATTAGTCTATAATATTCCCGTATATATAATCTATCTTCCAGTCAAAGTCTTGTTAAAATCATTCTAGCTATTACGGAGATTATCAGGAACAAAGCGATTTGCGAGACAGACGGGTAAAAATTTGTAAAATTTGCTAAATAATTTTTTATGTCTTAATATAAGATGGCAAACGAGCGAGCGGCCACCTGAAATCACTGAAATAGCGAAGTGACCGTTGCCCATAGACATACGCAATTGCATATGCGTTGCCTACCTTTAATCGACGCAGGAGAGGATGCACAGATAGAAGATATTTTCCCTTTCCATGCAATACAATTTTATTAATAGTATAAATATCGCGGACTTGTCTATCAGTTCATTTCTTTGAATATTAAATATTCAACGCAACAATTTTCCATCCAACCAGTAACGCTTGGTTGCTCTTTTCAAATGCAAGTTAGGCGCCTTACAGACGGAGCTACTGTTGCCACAACTGACAACCCACAACTGGCGTTTACATAACATAATATGCCACTGGCTGTCGCCCGCGACTCCGTCTGCGCGGAATAATTTTTGAGTAACTTAAGCCGTTTATGCAGCGCACGCAACGAAAGTCCGAAAATGTGAATAATTTTCCTAGTTTTTGCAACATTACTCACTGACGCTTCGCTCCTATTGGTCGCAGCGTAATGTTATATAGCCTAAAGCCTTCCTTTATAAATGGACTGCCCAATATCTATATATATAAAAGAAAGTCGTGTTAGATACGCTATTTATAACTCAAGTACGGCTTTACCGATATGCCTGAAAATTGGTGAGGTGATAGCTTAGAGCCAGGAGACGGACATAGGATATTATTTTTTTTTTCGAATTTACGCCTTGAAGAGCTGCTTTTTATTTAACTTACTAATATTATACCTGGGAATGTTTAGATGGATGTGATGTGGATGGATGGATGGGTGTTTGAAGATATCTCTAGGACGGCTGAACGGATCTCGATTAAATTTGGCATACGTATAGAACATAGTCTTAAAGAACACATAGTGTACACTAATTAAGTGCCGACAGCTAGTTGATTATAGTTGCTATGTGTGTAAAGCGCCTAATATTACCGTTTTACTAGTTCTTTTTCTTACATCGCGTGACGAATGTATTTATTGAGACGGAGTAATAGTTTTTTTTTGTATTGTGAAACTGTTAATTTTAAAAATATAAAGAAACCTCACTGAATATATCTCTAAAATAAAAATCTATAGTAATATTATAGATCGGATGAGTTTGTTTGTTTAAACGCGCTAATCTCAGGTAGTACAGGTCCGATTTGAAAATTCTTTTTTTGTTGGATAGTCCATTTATAGAGGAAGGCTTTAGACTATATAACATTATGCTGCTACCAATAGTTACTTTTAATTCCGCGCAGACAGAGTTGCGGGCGGCAACTAGTATGTAATAAAGAAACTATATCTTTAAAATAAAAAGAATTCCTCCGACATACTCATCAGATTGTAATTGGAATAGCTTCAACTTGAGGCGTGTCTGTGTGGTCGTGGTATTACACCGGGCGAGCCGGGCCAATTCGGGCGAAGATGTTAAAGCGGGCTCTACCACTGTTAAAACTATGTTGCTTTAAATCGACTTTGAGGACGCACAGAGAGAGATAATTTATATTGTAAATCAAAAACAATAATCACGAAATTTTCGATTGCAAGTTCTATGAGAACAACAATCGGTAATCGAAACCGAACCCATCTCTAGTTAAACTAGCTGTCGCCCACGACTCAGTCCGCATGGATATATATAAAAAAACTTAATATATAGATAAGTTAAATAAAAAGCAGCTCTTCAAGGCATAAATTCGCAAAAAATATGAGGAAATAGTATCCTATGTCCGTCTCCGTTGTTGAGTTATAAATAGTGTATATAACCCGACTTTCATTTATATATATATATATATCTGACTATACATATATATATAGGTAGACACACACATATCTCCTAGAGACGTCATTTTTTTTGGGTCACTGATCTTTGATTTCCAGAACTTTTTTCAAATACCAATATTGTATTTGGTATATTTATGGTTTTAAATTAACTTCAACTGGTTTGTCTCTGCGGGTTTTCTAAATAATAATTCCTTTTGGAAATTTAGAAATCCGGATTATACTAGTGTTTTGAACTAGTGATGTGCATGTTATATTTATGTGCGTACCATAAATTTAATTTACGGTACGCATTGAATTCGACAGTTTATAAAATGAGGAGTATATTCTAAATCTTATAATGATAAAG